TAGTAGAAGTCATGCAAACAGGAGTTTGTGGGAAATTGCTCGTTTATGTACGGCTTAAAAGGGGCAATGCTCAATCACACTTTTGGCAGTTGTGGGTTTTTTTTAGAACATTCAAAAGCAGCCAAAACTAAATGAGTCTAACTTTGTTAATTTTCTAAATCAAACAAAGTGAAAAGAACCAGAATGACAATCCAAGTCATTTTACACTGCATATACAGGTTGGTTATAAAACAGATCAGTCTCTTTTACAATACAACTGTGCTTTTATGACAGATTGAAAAAATAATGAACCGTCATTCGATATCTCTATAAAGGGTAAAAAAAAAAAAAAAAAAATCAAATAGAGGTTTATCATCTGGGCTTTGCACCCTGAATATGAAGATGAATTGCATTTATTATAAGGTTGCCACTCTGCACCTTCTGGACAAGAAGATTTTTCTTTTTCGGTCTGGACTCTTCCTTTCATTTGGTGAGCCACTTTCATCAGTGCCACCGTGATTGGCACAGCTGTTTAAAAGTTATGAGATGAGTAATGTAACTGACTGAAGAGGTAATGATTCATCACCACACCTTCTTCTATAAATATCCCAATTCACCCAAAGCAACTGTCAAGCGTGGATGCTTACTGAAGAACGAAACGAGCAGGTGTGCCTGGATCTGGTTTCATTTTGCATCATGTGTATATGACGCAATGATTCCACTGGGTGTTGTAAATGTATCATTAAAATTAAGCTCAATATGGAAATATTTCATTGCAGCCTTATGAAACTATAGTTTGGAATTAACTTTCATTTTATGGATTCAGCAAAGTGCCTTTTGTTTAGCAACTTTTTGTTTATTACACCAGCTGCATTATAAGGACGTTTTTTGGGAGTTTAAGCCAACACTAACACTCATTCTGCATCAGAAAGAATTGGAATTGATTAAATTTGTGACTTGAGTAGTTAATTCCTGTCTGGTGCGCAAAGTTTTACATCATGTTGATGTTTAAGTTTGTCAAGTTTTCGTAGCTGATTAGAATGTCTTTATCAAATTATCAAAGTTGGACGATTAATCATTTGGATACTTTCCAGCTGTTTGGTAGCCTAAGTTGTAGGTAACAACTGAGATAAAGTATTTCAGCTTACAGATGAAATGTTCATCAGACGTCCTCTTAATATTTAGTAATGTTAGTTATTTAAAAACCAGGAAAGAAGTTAAAGAATCAGTCAAGGGGACTCAAGAATGGCTGAAGTGTTTAAGTGTTCACACTATTCCAAGTATGAGCACTTATTCCAAGTGTGAGCACTTATTCTAAGAGAGCAATATTTGTATGTAGAGCATCTGATAGATAGAATTTATTCTTGGCTGCTTTGTGAGCTGTGGTATTCACATACCATAGTGAAACATGGTCAAGTGCCAGTGGTGTCCTTGTCTGTCTTTTCCCCCACTGCACTGTTATCAATCAGACACACCGGCTAAAGACAGATATTCTTAAGTGAATGTACACACAAATACACAAGTGTACACTCTGAAATATACTGTCCTTTAGTTAAAAAATGTAAGCAAGTTTCTCTCTTCCATACTTGGTCCAACCCTTTGCGATTTCAGATGACTTTTACTCATCATAACAGTATGACTCACTCCTGGAGATTAGAACTGAAACAATGGATCTCTATGCATAAAGAAAATATGAACAGAAAGGAAATATGGACAAATGGGAAAATATGGACAGAAAAAAAGTTAGTAACAGAAAAAGACAAAAAAAGAGTTGAGGAGAAAGAGAGATGGGTTCTCTAAGTGCAGTAGCACACAGGCACATAGCTGTGAGTTCCCAGGCAAGTCAGCATGAGCTGCCTATTTGTCAGCATTGATCAACCCATTAAGGGGCTGTGGTGGGAAGCATATTGGTTTTGGAGGCCAAAGGGGCAGGGAGAGACAAAGATAAAGCAAGACGGGGGGTGGTTGAACTCCTTTCAGCCTCAGCAGCCACATGTCTGCAGGATGAAAGCTTGTAGTCTTCCTCTCGAAAGTCTACGCAGTTCATTTCACAGGGCCCAATGGGAAGGTAGTAGATATCATTTGTCTTACAGCATCTCTGGAGGCTCCACTGTATGTGTTATCTTAGCTTCCTGCCACTGCAGTGCTAATAAGGAACTAGCTAGCTTCTCAGACATACAGAACGTCACTTGTCATCTTTCTCAGTGTTTCTGTGTGCGTGTGTGTGTGTGTGCACGCAAAAGGTGGGTGGTGGGGTGGGGGTGGGTCTTGGCCCAAGGGGAAAGCAGGCAGCCTCTTCGCCCAGCCTCTGATGAATTCATATAATTAACTCTGCCTTGATCTGTTGGCTAATCCTGCACTCAGTAATAAGGGATTAAAATGTCACCTAAGCCACCTGCTGTTATTGAGCCCCAAGACTTTTGTGCTCCTGTGTGTGTGTCACAGTATGTGAGAGAAAGGGAGTGAAGATAAAAGTAAAGTTGAATTTTACAATTTCTGTGTAGCAAGCTGGAAATATTCTGTTTTCCCTCAAGAAAATGTATGCAGAGGACACTATAAAGTAGCTCAGAGAAGCAAACATCTTAACTCCAGCCATATGCAAGTGAGCACCACTCACAACCACAAAGTTTGGCAAAAAAAAAAAAAAGAATTCCATAATTTGGCAGGGAGCTGGAGCAGAAGTTGCAACAGACTCCCTCGAAAACTCATTGTCACAGTCACTAAAAAGGGACATGAAAGTGGGGCATGCTTGAAGGTGGGGGTTGAGAAATCTCTCTTTTTCCCTTCTTTCTTACTGTGACCTCCTTGGATGAAGTAAAAAAAAAATAATAAGAAGAAAGAAAAGCGTGCCAATTGGTTGGCTAAATGCCTACAGACCAACAGCCAGCTTGCCTTGCCTGCCTTCTGGCCACCTCCACTTGGTTTCCTAGCAACCCCAAGTGTACTTTGGGCTGCTTAATGACTCTTGTTGCTGCAGTGGCTCTGGGGCTACTAATGAAGCCTCCTGACCAGTCGCTTCCATTTAAAACCTGGAAGCTGACTGATCACTGGGCGTGGATCTCGGGAATTCAGGCTACCCTAAACCTCTTATGTGAGACCATTTCTGCCCTCAAAAAACCCCCAAAACCTCACCTCCAACAACTTACACATGTACACACCACACCTTAGCTTAACTCTAAATAACTTTCTGGCAATAGCAGACTCGCATATCAATACTTTACCTCTCCTGAACTTTATGTAAGATTTACATGTGAATGTAATCATGGGGACTCACATGGGCGCCTATCACACAAAATTGCAGGATTCCAAATTTATTCCTTCAGTGAAGAGTCTCAGTGAACCAGGCTCCCACAGAACAATGGATGTAGCCTAGAAGAAGAAGAAAATGATATTTTTTGAATTGAGAACATTTATGCTGAGGGACTGCGTTTGTCAACAGAAGAAAGAGTGCAAATTATCGCAGTGATTTATCAAATTATCTCACACCAACACTTGAAAAAAGTGAGTACAAAGCATAAGGGCATTGAGTAAAAACTGATCTTTGCATTTCTGGCCATCTGCTGGATGGCTATGCTCCAGGAGGAACGCATACTCCATGAATATATAATATGAAATTTTGTTACTCCAATTAGCAACAACTTAACATATTTATTTGGTTGCTCTGGTCTCTGTCTTTCGCTCACTCTCTTTTTTCTCTGTGTGTGCATCTGTGAACAGCTCCATGGGCAAGCCTTGTGATGCCTGTGTCATTTTACAAAGCTTTGTTCCAGTGTCGCAACATATTGCTTCGAGAGCACATTACGTCCCAGGAGTGTCACCATGTATACAGTTGTCTATACGTGTCCACCAAGTCTATATTCAACCAAGGTCTGAGCTCATGTCAACTGCTGTCAAGTGCTGTGTTGCCTGAGGGCCACAACACCCACTATCCTGCCCTAGCTGACTGATCTGAGTGGGCAGTACTCTGTGCCATTCACTGGCACTCTCATGTTGGACCTGTCTGCATGGCCTAGTTAGAAAGATGGCCAACTGAAGTCTGGAAAAAAAACAAAACAAACAGAAAACTCAACGCCAAAAATAAAAATACAATACAATGCCAAATATTATGTGCGTAGGTAGCCTCAATAAATAAGGGTCTTCGGGGGCTTAAAACCACTCACCTTTTTTACAGAGGAATAGGGGGATGTTATTTGTATTTTAGAGATCTGTAACACTAGATCAAGTGATTTTCTGTATTAGTATTCAAACTCCAGGGAGAAAAAAACCTGGGGAAGTTTTAGTCATGGCAGGCAGCTTTTAATATGTGTGTGTGTGTGTATATATATATATTTATATATTTATATATATATAACAAAAATTATTAATTATTAATTCCCTACTGTTAACCTTTCAGAAGCTCATAGCTATGCCGTTCGGAGGCTGTAGCACAAGGAGGGTGCTTGGGAAGGGTGGAGTTGGCTGACCAGACCAGTAGCATATTGGTTGTAAGTCACAAAAGGGCTCCTGGGTAGAGATGCGAAAGGGGAGGGGGGGATGCAGGCAGAAAAGAGGGATTGCTGAGGGTCAGGAATGAGCAGGATATAGCTGGTGACTGGGAGTCTGGAGCCAGGAGGGGACAGGAAGAGCAAGGGCCAGCCAGAAAGGACCTCTCCCGGTGGGGCTGGGAGTGGCTGATGTAATGGCATTAATCTCCAAGTGCCATCTGACACCCAGTGTGGCTCCGTCATTGAAAAGTGCTAATTCTGCTGAACTGTGAGGGGAATTCAGGCATCTCTAGAGGCAGTGCCCTGGATTAATTAAACATGCTGGCATGGAGTACTGGACAGATTTATCTCTTTTTATGCCATCTTCACCATTTGATTTTTGTGTTTAGCTAACAGAGGAGGACAAACTCGGGACATTAACACCAGGAACATTGCAACATCTTGCACCTTATATGGTTTCCAGCTAACGTGGGATTTCCCTTTTCTTTCTTCTCACTCTTTCTTTCTCTCCATCTACTTCTTTCCCTTTCTCTCCAGATGAACCGGCCCATCCAGGTGAAACCTGCTGACAGCGAAGGACGAGGAGGTAATTAACCTTCTCTTGGTCTCTGTTGCACCCCCACCCCCCCCATTAAAAAACACACACATGTAAAAACACAAATACACTGAAATAGCACTCATGTAATCCCTAATAGTCTGCTCTCACTTGAGAAAACACCAGGAGTTAGTAGACTAGCCTGTAATATAGGTCACTTGCTTCTATTGACTTCCAGTCTGTGCCAGCAGAGGGGCTTTCTCAGGTTTATAGTCACTGGGAGCAGTTCAAAGACAAGATAGAAAGGCATGGAACAAAATAAAATATTGAGAAAATAGAAAAGAATAGGGAGGGAAGAATCTTTATTCCTGATTTTAAAGTCAATATTAAGAGGAAAATATCGCCCAAACATACATAGATGAGTCAGAACTTAAAAACATGTCAACTGCCTCAGCACTACGTCCGAATAACATTTTGAGATATCATGATCTAAGACGTTTGGAATATTTGTGGTATAGCCATAATGTGTTTTATCCTAAAATAAGCGCATGACTACAGTAGTTGATAGTAACACCTTCTATCACTCTATGAAAACTCTGCATTACCTCAGAGACTTATCTACCTACCTATTCACTAACCTGTCTTCTTACTTGTCTATATTCCTATCAATTTATCTGCCTCGTTAATAGCATATAATAGCACTGATAAATGGAACAGTGTAAAGTTAAATTAAGTCATTTTCAATGATTTCCATTATGTGATGTGAGCATTTCAGTAGAACTCAATGGATATGTGTTTTGCTTAGTACAAAAAGGTATGAATTAACGAATTGTGATATCAAAACATCACATTCTGCTTTAACATTGTGCAGATTCTTTTGCACAGCTTCCTATCATCGCTAATTTGACTTTCATGGTGATTGACTAGATCATTCCAAAGTCACTTTTGACTAACATCACTGAGAATAATGCAGATTAAGTTTAAAACAAAAAGATTTATGTGGGCTGAATTTGATCTAACCGAACAGGTCTGTGTCAGCCCCGTGCTTTCATTTCAGAGTGGTGATTTAGACTGCCTAGGTCAGATTACACTGAGTCACTTTGCTGATTTATGTGGTCAAGTGTTAGTCTGATGGGCCATTTCAATTGCCATGCACCCCCCCCATGCAGATCTTATTTTTGTCATGGCAGCACTTTAATTAACGGCCATCTAAAAACAGGAAAAGTCTGACCGACAAGGCCTGGGAGAGAGCCAATCGGCATTCTTACCAAGATAAATTGGATCTCTCGGCTTAAGAGGGGAGGATGGATGGGTCCCAATATCAATTACTACCCTTTTCTCTGCAGAAAGAGAAGGGAGATGAACAGGTAGTCTGAATGAAATACAGAAGGCTTTTACGCTGCCCCTGCTAGTCTGTCAGATGAACTTTCTATATAGGAGGACAGGATAGGACACAGCACAGAATGAAATAAGACTGAGCAGACAGGCCCCAACAGAGATATTGAGCATTAATGGCAACAGGAAGTCAGCAGACAGGCCAGGGAAGTAAACCACAGTCATGGCTGACAATGAAATGAGATTTACTATGAAGGCTTGTGGTTAAAGGAAAATAGACAGCCCTGCTAGGGCTGACTAAAAGTGAGAAAGTAGCGAGGGAGTCATCTGTGGAAGGCTCAGGACCAGTCAGGTACACCAATCCCAGTGGGGCCTTTAGACTGTCAAATCCAGGGCTGAACCAGGACATTTGCACCTCTAGAATGGAGTCACATTTATCACTACCAAGACATCAGCAATTATCTGTCATGGGAACTTGTGGAAGGGTCTCGATTACGTGCCTGTGCAGACATTAGGGCCCATTACTCCATTTGGAGACTCTGGTAGCACTTCTTTTGTGCACAGTGTCCCTGAGAGACGTCCTCTCCCTGGGGATATGGGAGTGTCAGGAGGAGAAATAAAAATCAGTGCTCAAAAAATGGCTGGTAGGGGGGTAGCACCACACCATAGTGCCAATAGGCTACTGCTGTGGATCATAGAGCACATTCTCTGGCTGTCTATTACAATGGCCCATGCCTTACTTTATATTTTCCTTAGATTTTCAAGAAGGAGCTTAGCATTGTAGGGGAGCTTAGCTACCTTTTAATCAGTCTCTTATGACAACTATGTCTCCACAAATTTAAAATTTACTCAGTGTACTTTGAATGTACTCGGCACCCTGTTTTTTTGTTTTTGTTTTTTTGTCAATTGGTCTGTGGTCATTGGAGGAAAAGGCACTTGAAACCCAAGAAAATTGACTTAAAATCCAAAATGAAAAATGCATCTCTACAATAGATCTTTCCGTATAACCACTTTAACCCTTCTTTGTCCATCTACCATTGGCAAAACAGAGCAAAGTAGGAGAAGAAGCAAGTGATACAGAAATGGGGATTCAGTACAAGGCCCACAGAGAAATGCAAGAGAGTGAGAGATGGAAGACAAAAAGAGCAAGAGGGGAAGAGACGACAGGATGAGAAAGTTAACGGAGGGTGATGGAGGCAGCTGAGTGAATCTCAGCAGTAAATCATCTCAGAGCCGCCCCATCCCTATCTCCGCCTTGCCTCGCCAGGAATCTTTTTCCCCCTGACCTTGTCTGCTGCTGTGTCTGTGAAGAAAAGATGGGGCCAGATTATCTATGATTGGAGATGGCCATTATCTAAACACAATCTTCGAGCCAGGTCCCACTCCTCTAGCCACTGCTGTGAGACTGGAGACCACACTGATGAGAAGAAAGATGATGGGTCATCCAGCGACACCCTCTCCTTTTATTAACTCTGATAAGATGGTTTCAACACTCTCTTGAAATGCCCAGCAACCTCCATCAACATCCATCAACATCGACTTTTTCACAAAGTGCCACTCAGTACATTTGTCTACACATCTTAGCTCTCCATACTTTTCTCATATTGGAAACTTATACAGTGTCAGAATAATTTCCACCCCTGCACTTAATACTCAGCAACCCTATGTGAACCTTTTTAATATCTTGTCCATGCCTTTTGTCTGTCTGGCTGAGGGGAGTCTTTGTGAATGGCTCGTGTTTGTCCTTGCCAACCTGCTGCTCTTCAGAAGGCTGTCCTCAGTTGGCCAGTGGAGAGATTGACAGGACCTTAAGATGTTTTGTGCTGCGCTGTTGTGCCCCAGCCCAGCAGGTTGGGACGAGTGAGGGCTGCTCACTGAGTCAGTCGGGCGGGCTACAAGGGAGGGGGTGTCTGGAGGCACCTCATACCCACAGACGGAACATGCACCACTTTACATGCAAATGAACCCAAAAGATCCCCCTGTGCCTCTGGAAAGAATTGTGCCAAAAAAAAAGATTCCTGTTAGCAGTTAATATGTGGGATTTCCATCAAAGTCAGTTATTCTGTTTTAATTTTAGGTTTCAAGGCACCGACTGAATGGCCTAGCTTTTAGGATACTGTATACAGTTAATTTCTCTCAGGTTTTCTTGATCGTTCTGTGTTATTTTTTGATCATGCATAACGGCATTTAAAGCTACCCCCCCTACCCCCATCAGGTAAATAGATGTGACAGCTCCAGTGGCATAAGTAATGTGTTCACAAATACAAAGCCTGCATCATGTACCATCATGCCTGATATGCTGACAATTTAGATGTTTGTTCTCCCCTGATTATTCCATTTAGTACCTCACTATACTGGATAATCCACTTGTACACATCAAATAGGGACCAACAGCAGAGAGGTTTAGTGTGTGGTTCCACATTATTTTGCTCTGGAATGGGGTCTAACTATGTCTGGTAACCGGGTAGGAATGAAACGTGTCAGATATAGAATGAGGCCTTTGAAGTAAACGCATGCATATTCCCTATCTCAACAGACACCGATGCTTGGTTAGAAATGTTTGTTGTGATATTTGTGACATACTGGGTATCCATTTAGCATCGTTTTCCAATGTGGAGAGTACCAATTCAGAATATTATGTTGTTAAATAAAGAAATATGCCCAAAGAGGAGAAATGCAAGCCTCATGTGGGATTGCTATTTTTGGCTGTTCAATTTATTTTTGAGTTTTTCCCATTAAGTACCAGATATCCATGGATGTTTTTATGGTTTCTGAAAATTGGGCTGTTAGATTTGGTCCAAGTTAATCTTAAGATATGCATGTTTAAAAAAAACCCAAAACAAAACAAAAAACAACTAAATACATTTAGCCCTAATGCTGACATAGAAATATGATCAAATCCCATCAAACAAAAACCTCAGACATTATATCCATACACATTATCAACATTGAAATGTGAAAGGTGAAATGAAGCATTTTCAGGTTGTTTACATTCTATATATTAATACTTTATGTATATCCCTTTATGCAAAATCCCCAAACCCCAATTTTTTCTGCTGATTAGAAGTCTGACAAAAATCTTAATGTATAATCAGAATATGATTCACATATTGATATTCACACATTAAATATTTACATTTCTTGCAATATAATAACACAGGGAATTACATCTAGTCTAACATAACCTTACCTTAAAGATTATTATGTCCTAAAGTTATTTAAGAGAAATGTATGGGCTTCAGGTGTGTCCATATATCACTGATCCTGCCTGGTGAGGTGCATCAGTGAGTTGATGACTGTCTCACTTCTGGTGTAAAGCATGGGTCATGTACCGGATTTGGGTTATGGTTACTCCACTCCTGAATCTATATCTGTATTCATACTTAATGATAACTTGTGCAATTGCTCTAGAGTTAGCCTCCAGTGTTGTCTTCCACAGTCCCATTAAGGTCCTGATGAATGTTATCAGTGCATTAGCCTTGTACAATCCCAAGCTCTAAAGTATCCATGTATGGGGATTGTGTCGTAGGCTTTCCTGTAGTCAATCCAGGCAGGAGCTCCTCCAGAATTCCTTTCATACGGGTGGCCTTATAGGGGTCCCCAAAAACACTGGGGTGGCACACCAAAAACAGAATTTCCAGTTTTATTATGCTGTTGTCAAATATAGGTTACTTGAAGAATATGGCAAAGAGACAGAAAGAAGATAATTATGTACA